TGATGCAATTTTATATCGATAAATCACATTCATTGAGTATCCCAATGATTATGAGATCATTTGACATAAATGATGATTCGGTTTGATCTCAAAAGAAGGATGAAGAGTTTCTTGGTGATGAAACTCTATCTTGGTGCAATCATGGCACTAGTGCATCTTACTAGCAATATTTGACTAGATATTTGTTTTGCAGTAAATTTACTGGCAAGATTCAGTTTCTCCCCGATAAAAGGACATTGAAATGGTGTTGAGCACATGATTGAATATCCTCGAAGGACCATAGTTATGGGTTAATTCTATTCCGAGGAATCCAAGACAAAATTGATTGGTTACGCAAATGCAGAATATTTATCTGATCCGCATAAAGCTCTATCAAGCACGCTATGTGTTTGCATGTGGAGGCACAATAATATCCTGGCGATCAATGAAGCAAACAAATGTTGCTTATGCAGAAATAAAAGTCCTCCATGAAGCAAGTCGAAAGTGCGTTTGGTTGAGATAAATGACACACCATATGCAAGAAATGTGTGGTTTTTCTTTAAAAAAGAATATACCAACCACAATGTACGAAGATTGGAGACATCATCACAAGAAATTAAGTGATGTTTTAATCAGGGGAATATAAAACGCGTTGCACTCTTTTTCCCTTGACCGAGGTTTTTTTCCCACTGGGTTTTCCTGGCAAGGTTTTTAATGAGGCAACAAATAGTGTGTATCAAAAGATATGTGTACTCTTTTTCCTTCACTAGAATTTTTTCCCACAGGGTTTTTCCTAGTAAGGTTTTAACGAGGCACATTATCTATGGACATCCAAGGGGGAGTGTTATAAATCCATTGAATTATAAAACTTATTGTAGATGACAAAATTTTTTCTTTGAATACGAAATTAAATTACAATACACAGTAAAAAAAATAGTTTAATTTTTTTTCTTTAAACTAAGGAATGAAAGAAAAAAACAAAAGAAGAATAAGAAACTCAAATAATTATAATAAAAGAAGTCAAAAAATAAATTATGTATGAAAAAAATTAAAATATACCTTGAACTTTGATAGAAGAATCATATATATCACTAAATAATTTTCTTAAAAAAATTAGAAGTAATAAATATAAATTTAAAACTAATTTTTTAACTTCCATTAAATGAAGGATATATGTGAGCCATTTTATAACGGCAGGGGTATATGTGAGCCGTTTGTATAACGGTAAGGGCATACATGAGGCACTTTTATAACGAGAGGTATATCAGCTCCAAATTACAAAGTTGAGGGGTATATCAGACCCTTTTCCCTTGAATATTTAGCTAAAATATCTAAATATTGTTGCCTCTAATTCAACCTACCCATTCCCTTGCTTGGAAACAATTGGTCAATATTAAAGATCATGTGGAAGGTCTTTTGATTTGGAAAATTAATAATGGTAATAGTAATTTTTGGTGGATAATTGGTGTGAAATGGGTGTTGTTGCTCATATTATTCATAGAAATGATTTTAATTATGCTGAAATTAAAATGGGTTCTAAAATAGGAATAGCAATGTAATCTTAGAATGTGATTCAAAGATTGTTGTAGAGATGATCAAAGATAATCACAATATCCCTTGGCAAATGAAAAAATGTCATTACTCGTATTCAAAATATTTTAAAATATTTCAAGGTACTTAATCTGTATACTAAGCTTTTCTTGCCCTATATATAATCGTTGTCATTAAAGGTAAATGTATATTTACACATATCTTAAACAGAATGACAAGCGACCTTAATTAGCTTTTTATTTAATTTGAAAATTAAGTAGTAGTCTTCATATTTTTGAAAGTAATGTAGTTCTTTAGAAATCATAATTTAATTATTAATTATAATAATTCCTACTTTTTAGTGAACTAACTCTTCATTACCAACCAAAACAAGAAGGAAAAAAAAACACAAGCATAATTACCAGAAATTTCCTACAAAATTGGTTATCAACCACATAACTATTTGAGTACATATATAACAACAAAGGGAAAAATCAAAAAACTAAAAGTGAAACACATATTTATATTTTTTTAAAAAAAAATGGAGGCATCAAAGAAGCTTATTGCAATGTTTTTTGTTTTCATTATTGTGATTTCTTCATCCATGGCTGATGATGAAGAAAATAAAGCAGAAGAATTTAAAAAATCATTTGAAACTGTGGCAAATGAATATAAAGTTTGCTACAATGATTGTCAAAAGGAATGTATTAATGAAGGATTGGGATACACTCGTTGTGAGATGAAATGTGACACTGAATGCAGTGCTAAGATGCTCAAAGGTAAAAATTTATGGAAAAAATATATCCGAAACTATCGTAAATGATTTTCAGATATCATCCGTCATATTTTTGAGACATTGGTACTTTTGTCGTACAAAAAGTAGAGCATATATATATTTTTTTATACTAACAGACGTACACATGTCATAGACTTACTTATCTACCTACCCGACATTTTGTTAAATATTTGATCAATGGATAAAATCGTGTCACATGTCCTTGTTTAGTTTTCTATTAGAGTGAAGTACAGGAGCAACAATGTCCCAAAAGTATAACGATAGAGAGTATCTGCATATCATTTACGATAGTTTAGGAGATATATGTGTCATTTTTCCCATAAAATTAATTTAACACGTTATATAAAGTACGTTAATATTTTTTAAATTTAGAATTCATATATATGACCATACAAATTAAAGGATTTTTTACACAATATTTTATTATAGTTTTAACATGTGATTTTTCTAAATTTAATTAGTAATATACATCGAGAACTTAGAGAATATTTACATTAACTATGTAGTTTAGTTTATTGAGACATAGTACATGTTATAATTGTGCAATCACGAGCTACTTCACCCATCATTTATTGTTGTTATTATTATTATAAAAGTATTGATTAATGTTTTCATAGAAATTAACATATTGTATAGTTAGTTATCGTATAATTGACCTGATTATAAAAAATTATTTTTGTTTTTATTTTCTAATATGTCATTATCTTCTATTTTTGCAGAAAGAATCGAGAAAATGAAAAATTAATTTGAAGCCTTGAAGATGGACCAAAGCATCCAAAAACACTTCTTTTAGTATAGCAAAAATAGGGAAAGAAGAATAAAAAAGTAGTAGTATACATGATGTATGTATGTATACATTACGTTATTTTAATTTTTTTGTTATCATTCTTAGCAGTATTTGAACTTTATATGAAATTTTCGGTACTTTATTTAACTTCGAAACTAGTAGTGTTATAATTTGTTGCCACGAATGAATTTTTCACTTTGGCATTTCAATTTGTCATAATTTGGTAATTTTTAATTTTCAATAAAATAGTTTGTTTATTTAATTATTGTTGTTTATCTCGAGTCAATTGTAAATATTAATAACTAAGTTAGGAATATATAAAAATTGATCGCATTTTACGTTCATCGTCTCAAAACTTTTATCTTGTGCCCAAAATGATGCCTTTGCTTTTTAAAACATTGCTATTGACATGTTTTGAGTCAAAGATAGTAAGTGATTATTGGAGAGAAATATTAAAAATATCTATAAATTTGTTGTAAATTTTTAGTTACTCAATAAAAAATTAAAAGTATTGAAAACACTCCTAAAGTTGACGAATATTTAAAGGTGTATTTGAGTTCAGTTAGTAAAATAAATGATTGGATGTATTTGAGTTCACTTAATAAAATAAAAGAATATTTTTAAGACCGTCAATAATTCGAGAGTAAAATTAATAATTCGCATCAGATTTATAAAAAAAAAAATTATTACTTTCTCTCTTATTTCTGCTTTTCTAAAAGATTTGCAATATATAAGATTTGGTTTATAAATGTATTATAGATGTAAGTCTAGCTCGAACAAAGGCAATAGTTTTTTAGTTTATGAAATAAAGTCAAATTAAAAAGGTTGGGAGGATTTTAATTACATTAGTTTATTTGGATCATAATTACATTTTCTTATGACAAACAAATTTTCTGTTTATATCTTATATATACATAGAGAGAGAGACAAGGTTAGTCAATATAATATTGGGAGAAAGAGTTTCAAGACATTTTAATTTTTCAAAAAATAATTCTTTCATTTGTATATTTAATTTTGATATATTATGGAGTGTTATAAATTGAGAGAAGTGTTAAAAATATTCTTAAATTAAGCATGAATTATTCATTTTATCTCTAAATTATTGACAATCTTAAATATATATATATATATATATATACTAACTGATTTAAATATACACTTGATCTTACAATATGAGTGAAATACACCTTTAATTTTTGGCCACGTTGAATGGTTTCTTAAAACATTTTCATGATTTTTTATTAAAAATCTCATGCTCCTACAAGAGTTTGAGACTACTTACTATGTCATGTGGCAGATCAAAGATGAATCTAAATTTAGTTTATAAAGTAAAAAAAATTAAGGCTATTAATAATTTGTAGATAAAATTAATATTTTGTGTCAGATGCAAGGATTATTAATTTTAAGTCAAAATAAGTTAAACTAATAAACGATCGGGTGTTCTAACGTATCGTAAAGCAAATAAGATAAGTCATATTTTCAACTTTAAAATGGGCAAAGAAAAAAAAAAGTGTTGCGAACAACCTTACTTAATTTGAAAACAGTCTCGATGTTTTTGAAAGTCTTTCAATCTTCACAAAAGAGAGATAAAATTACGCGCACATCATCTTTTTCATATTCACTATATATTATTCTTAAAAGCCTAATGCTTATAATTTATCTTCCTCTTTTGAAAATACATACCCTAATCAATAATAATTTTTTAAGTAATCCATAAATCTTATTACCAACCACTCAAAAATAAATAATTGTACAACCAAATTTTTCCTACAAAAGTGTATATCCATCACTTATATGTCCCAAAGCACCTATAAATAGGCGATTGAATAACATAATAACCAAAAATAAACAAACACGTAAAAGAAAAAAAAACATAAACCAAAAACAAAACACAAATAACAAAAGAAGTAAAATAAAATAGAAATGGTGACATCAAAGAATCTTGTTACATTATTTTTCGTTTGTATCGTTATGATTTCTTCATGTGTTTACGTCTCCATGGCTGACGGAGAAAGTAGTAACGCAGAAAAAGTGGAAAAAGCATATAAATCTGCTTCAACGGACTACATAACTTGTTATAATGATTGTCAAAAGGATTGCTCAGGTGGATACACTCATTGTGAGATGAAGTGTGATGAAGATTGCACAGCTAAATTGTTCAAAGGTAACGCTATTTTATATCATATCATATATTTTTTTTAAAATACTATATATGTTTTACACTTTTAACGTATAATATGTTTGGTTATGATTTTCTAACACGTTATTATGTTTGTGTTTTTTTTTTTTTCAGAAAGAATTGAGAAATTGAAAATATAGTGTGGCAGTGTGGGGACAGAACAAAACGATGGCTTTTTTTTTTTTTAATTTTTAATTTCTACTAATTAATTAAGTGATTTCTGAGAATATTGTATTTGTAATTTTTAAGATCCAATAAAATCGTTAATCTTCTTAAAATAGGTATGTATTATAGATCGAGGAAAGAAGGGGCTTTTGATCGAGATGGGTAGAAGAAGCACTGCAAAAACTGTGGGAATTAGGAACTAACTTCGTAGGGTGGTTAAAGAGGAGGTTGCGGATTTCTGACCTCCGAGCCAGAACTATCTGGGGGGGAAACCCATCCCCCACCAATGCGGCCTACATGACCTGATCAATTCGATCAGGCACTCGCCATCTATTTTCATTGTTCAAATCTTTGACAACACGAAAAAACCATTATTCAACTCTTTGACAACATGAAAAAACCAAAAGCTCTGCCCTCCCTCTCTATCTATCCAAGGGATGGATCTTCTATATGTTTATATTTCTTTCGTTTTAATTTATATAATATAATATAACGATGTTTTGAGTTAAATAATTTTCTTTTATGTTAATTTTTTTAATTATAATTTGAGTTGGTAACCATATTGTTGGTTTACAGTATCTTTTTTTCCATATATATTTCAACCCAATTTTTAATTAAATTAAAGTGTTTATACACATATATATTGTGATAAATTAGTAAGTATTTCTTCATTTATAATTAAAGGTGTTGAGTACTAGTCGAGGAGATAGAATTGTCTTTGATATTAAACGATTTATCTTTTAAAGTAAAACTTTTCCACAAAAATTAAAATTAATTAATTAGATTCCCACACGAATACTCATATTGAGTTTAAAAAAACACACACTATATATTATAAATATGTGTAGCACAATCTGAGTCATTTTTTATATATGAAATTACTTTTAACCAAGAAAAAAACTAAAAAGACAAATTTATTTAGATAAAAGTAAAAAAGACATTTTAAAAATTAATATATTAAACAACATTATAAAACATTTTTAGAATTTTAAATATGAGAATATTGAGTAGTCCATTTAGACCATTTGAATGTTCTAAAGTTGTCTCACCAACTTATTCCATTCACACTCAATGTTTATCGTATCAAGTTAATTGAAGTACGTGCTAAAACTAAAGGAGTAGATAGATATAGGCTTGAATTAATATAAAAATAAAAATAAATCAGAGTTAAATATTATCCAAACATATTGTTTGGCATATATTTCGATTCAGTACTAGACAACTAACTTTACTAAACATTGGGTTGCCATTGTGGACTTTTAAGTAGTTTGGGATAAGGAATCTTTTTCCTTTCCCATGGGAGTCAAACTCAATGTTTAAAAAAAACGTTTTTGGAGCAAGTTTCGGGGTGAAATATAGATAAAAATTAGGGACGAAGCTATAGTGTGAGGTTAGGTAAATAGAGAATTATATTATTTAGATATGATAAAAAAAAAAATTTTGCTTAGTTCGTGTATTTACTTCGTATGTTAATTTCTTTATGAAACTATGCATATTAAAATATTGTCACGACTCAAACTGGGCCGCGGCTGGCACCTACACTTACCCTCCTATGTGAGTGAACCAGCCAATCTAACCTTAACATTTCAATATAATATCAACAGAAAGTAATGCGGAAGACTTAAATTCATTAAATAAAGACCAATTCATTAACTTCTAAAATTCAACATCTATTATTCCCCAAAATCTGGAAGTCATCATCACAAGAACATCTACGATCAAATGACTAAACTAAGAGTATTCTAAAAGCTAAAAATACATAAGAAGCTAGTCCATGCCGGAAGTTCAAGGCATCAAGACTTGAAGAAGAAGATCCAGTCCAAGCTAGAAGCATTAGCTCACCCTGAATTTCCGATGGTAGTAAGACTGGCTTGAATTACTGTTGAGTTGAAGACGATGGCACGTTTGCTGCACTCCACAAATAAACAAGAAGAAAACATAAAAGTAGGGGTCAGTACAAAACACGGGTACTGAGTAGATATCATCGGCCAACTCAAAATAAAAAGCAATATATACCAAGTAATATCATAAAATCAACTATGATACTCAACATGTAGCAACAACAAGCACTATATCATTAACAATTACCATCAAGTTCACACATGAGGACTCAAACCTCAATACCATACTCATTTGGGAATCATGTTCATTAGATTGAGTATATTAACATCTTTCAAGATTCATTATCTTTATTTCTCTTGTGTCGGCACGTGACACTCCGCTCCCTCATATTCATTAATCCTCTTGTGTCGGTACGTGACACTCCGATCCTCTAAATCTACGTGTCGGTTCGTGACACCCGATCCCCTAAATCTACGTGTCGGTTCGTGACACCCGATCCCCTAATTCTACGTGTCGGTTCGTGACACCCGATCCCCTAATTCTACGGGTCGGTTCGTGACACCCGATCCCCTAATTCTACGTGTCGGTTCGTGACACCCGATCCCCTAATTCTACGTGTCGGTTCGTGACACCCGATCCCCTAATCTCATTCTATCAACTCATCAAGCCTTCTCCCTTACCAAGGCATCATCAATCTCATCAAAAGGTTCATCAAGCCTTCTCCCTTACCAAGGCATCATCATTAAAAAGAGATTAGGTTTTTATCAAGATTTGGGATTCAATAACTTCATCATGCTTAATATAATCACAATTATATAATCACGTTCATGCATGCATACAATTAAGCACATAGCAGGGTTTACAATACTACCAATACATATCATTCTCTATTAAGAGTTTACTATGAAAGCATGAAAACCATAACCTACCTCCACCGAAGAATTGAAATCAAGCAAGTTAATCCTCAAAGCTTGGTGCTTTCCTCTTCTCTCGATCGGTTCTCCCTCTCCCTTCTTGTTATTTCTGTTTTCTTATTCAAACCCTCTTTCTTTTACCCTAATTAGTATATAATTAAGAATAAAAGATGGCAATAATACCCCACGAATTAACTTAAGGTTACCTCTTTTAACCCCCAAGAATTTGAGTTATTAATATAAACCCACGAAATATATAATTATAGCAGGAATAGTCCAAAACGCCCCTTTAAAACTTAACCAGAAATCCGACTCCAACTGGGATTATGCAAACTGTGACGGGCCGTCGCGCCTGCGACGGTCCGTCCTGCTGTCCGGTCACATAGTTCAGAAACTTGATTTTGGGTGAATGGCCTGTGACGGTCCGTCCTGCCACTCCGTTACGAAGTTCAGAGAGTCGATTTTCAGTACCCAATTTCAAATTTTCTAAGTGTTTTGAAACGAGACCCTGCGACGGTCCGTCGTGCCCATGACGGTCCGTCGTTGGGTCCGTCGCCTCAGCCTGTTTTTCCAGAATAAAATCTGCTGCTCAAAACGACTAAACAGGTCGTTACAAATATATTAGGGTAATTTGATTAAAAACTTATTAATTAAAATTAAATTGCTAATCAAATTAATACCAAAGTAACACAAAATCCAACTTGTTATAAATGTTAAGAAGTTGGAAAAAAAATTAAAAGTCAAAATATATTTTATTTCTTAGTCCTATTTTTTTATTTTCTCATTCTTTCACCAGTTAAAAAGGAAACAAAAAATGATCAATATGCGAAGTGTAATTAGTATTGATTATATATTACAATTATATATCATGGTTGATCTTTTTTCTTTTTTCTTTTTTCTTTTTACCTAGCAATAGAATCCTAATTAAATTTAAACATGTTTCTAAAATTTCGATCATATTCTAAAAGTACGTGTGCTTCATCCCAAATTATAATGTAGAAACTCCATCATTCTTCTTCACTAATTTTGGTTTGATGTTTCTAATTGTAAGTCCCTTCTTATATCTTTTTAAGGCATGATATATAGTTATGTCCTTCAATTTGATTTCAGTTGATATATATGTCCTTCAATTTGGGTTTTGCGTGTGCCTTAACTTAGCTTCAGCGGATAACTATGACCTTTAACTTTGGGTGTGCACAAACAGAAACTTAAACTTGTATAAAATTGAATAAAATAAACACATTTCGTCCTATATGATAATTTTGTGTCTTAACATAACGTCTTATGTGTATTATATCAGGTAAAACATGTGTGTCTACTTGTTCCATTATACGAATATATACACAAGTTTGGTTTATGCTTTGCCCCCACAATGTGATAAAACAAAGGTCAAAACAAAAGACCAAACGTCATGGCTAACGTGAACATTTCCCCACTTATCTTAGATCCGATGTCACATTCACTAAAGATTTACGTGCATAGGATATCCAAAATTTCTCTATAAATTATCAATTTCCTATTTCTGCATAATCACATCAACAAAATTATTAACTATTATTATGGATTCACAATCACCAAATGGTTCAATTATCTTCTCTACTGTTGGTAGAACCAACTACGGTTTCGATATCTTCTCTCTCAAATCCCCATTGTCTTTCCTCAATTCCCCAATCACGGAGCACTGTCTCACAGACGGTGCATCCGTCAATTTCAATGGTCAATTCATTGACGAAGACCAGACACTAGTCTTCGTCTCTGAAAGATCAGGTGCTCCTCGCATTCACTTGAGTCGTCGTCATTCAGGAATTGAACTAATTCCTATTTCAATCAATACCTTATTTCTCGATCGTCCAATTCTTCGTAATAATCGCCTCTATTACATCTCAGCTCATCAACATTCTGAAAAGATTTTCACAAGCTCCTCTGCTCTTTACTGCACTAGTACGGTCGAGGGCGATAATGAGGTAAAAAGATTGACTCCACAAGGATACGTTGATTATAGTCCTTCGATTTCAAAATCCGGACACATGATTGCTGTTGCTTCCTATGGAAATCGTGGTTGGCCTACCGAGGAATTTCATGATCTAAGTACTGATATTGTTGTTTTCCCTGTATCTAAACCTGATTCGAGAACAATTGTGTGTAGACACGGTGGCTGGCCAACTTGGTCTGGTGATTCAACGATTTATTTTCATCGAAAAGCTGATGATGGATGGTGGAGCATTTTCAAACTCGATTTACCAGACGATTTATCGAATTTGGTTGATGAGGGTAATGCTTCGATTCGAGTTACTCCGCCTGGTTTGCATTGCTTTACTCCTGCAGCAGCAGCAGTATCAGGAGACCACTCTAAAACATCAATTATTGCTATTGCAACTCGAAGACCCGGAAAGAGCTATCGCCACATCGAAATTTTCGATGTGGAGACTCAGAAGTTCTTTCCGGTGACGGAATTGATTAATCCTACAATTCATCATTACAATCCCTTCTTCTCTCCTGAATCGACTTACCTCGGTTATCACAGATACCGAGGCGAATCGTGTTCAGGGGAAACAACGATTCCTTACTTGGACTCTGTAATTTCTCCGGTTAACGGACTGAAAATGCTGAGGCTTAACGGATTCTTCCCTGCATCCTCTCCGTCTGGTGAATTCATTGCATTCAATCCAGGATTCAAAGGACTAGAAATCGTCAAATCGGATGGATCGAAAAAATGGACATTGATTAAAGATCGTACATCTTTCTGCAATTCATGGTCTCCAGCTGAACCTCATGTGATATATACATCAATCGGACCTATATTCGAATCAGTTAAAACAACTGTACAAATAGCACGCGTTTCGTTCAGCTCATTGAACGTTAACAGCGATGAAATTCCGGTAGAGATAAAAGTTTTGACAGGGGAAGAGACTGGTAACAATGCATTTCCTTCTTGCTCCCCTGATGGAAAGCATCTAGTGTTTCGTTCAGGTCGTTCGGGGTATAAAAATCTGTATATTATCGATGGAGTCAATGGAGAAATGGAAGGGGGAGAAGTTCGTCAGTTAACGAATGGGGCATGGATTGATACGATGCCAAATTGGTCACCTGATGGAAAACTAATTGCATTTTCTTCGAATAGGCATAATCCGAATGACATTAATCGTTTTAGCATCTACGTTGTTCATCCAGATGGATCAGGGCTTCGGAGGATATATGTGGCAGGGCCGGAGGGATCAGAGGAAGTGGATAAAGAGAGATTGAATCATGTATGTTTCAGTAAGGACAGTGAATGGCTCTTGTTTACGGGCAATTTGAGCGGAGTGACAGCAGAACCAGTGTCGTTGCCAAATCAGTTTCAGCCGTATGGTGATTTATATGTGGTGAAACTGGATGGGAGTGGATTGAGACGATTGACGTGTAATGGATATGAGAATGGAACTCCAGCTTGGCACCCCTCGACTATGCCTATGGAGACTACTGCAGGGGAAACAGAACGAAGCGTACTAGTAGGAGAGAAGTTAAAGGGTGAATTTGACGATTTGCTATGGATGAAGTGTTGAAGACAATCATAACATAGTCAGTATAAATTTCACACGTGGAGTGTGAAAAGAATTTGTTGTATTAGTAGTCTTACCCCTATCTTTATGTCTTTTTGTTGCTCGCTCGTGAGTTCAAATATCATGTTGTACTTGTTTGTAGTATGGAATAAACATTATCAATAAAGTCAAGTTACCTTAAATGAGTAGTTAAATAAAACAAACAATAAAAAGAATATTGAACATTATTAATAAATAACAAATCATACAAACCAAAAAGTGGGGTCAAATAATTGTTTTTTAACATTAGAAACAACTAAAATGCCTTTAAATATGCACGGTTTGATACTTTTCGAATCTGCCATAAGGGAAAACGCGGATGAAAGAACACTTTAAGATTTATCTACGCTCAGCCAATCTTCTTTATGCTTTGTAACTTAAAAGTCTCATGAAAATTTCAAAAGGTAGACCAACAAGCTTGATATTTAAGCTTGGCATCAAAGTTGCTATATATATACTCGACAATTAAACACTCTAACTTTAAGGATTCATATTTAGACATTTGTATTCATTATTACTAAGTCAATTAAATACTCTAACTTACAAAATGATTATTTATACAACTTTAAGATCTATGTGTCACATCAATGTCAGATGTACACGAAACACAAAGAAATTTTCATTTACACAATATTGGGACAAATTGAAATGTCTAAATGTGTATATTTTCAGAATTAAAATGTTTAATTATCAGTTGAAGTCAAGCTAAGATGCGTATATATAATGTGCCATCCATCCTTTTCCTAAGTGGGAAGCAAAAGACATCCTTTGCTTGGGAATAAACTCCATTATCATTTACTTTTGAGCATGTCAACCGTTAAAGTGGAATTATCTCATGAGCTAAATATAGAGATTCTCTAAGCAAAGATGTGCGAAATAATAACCATTTCATCAGAAAGTTTAAGCCGTACGTACACACCCTTTTGCGGGTGGACTTGATTATTTTATATAAGAATCTGTCTTCATTTCCATGGAATATAAGTACTAAAGAACCCTAAGAAGAGTAATATATTTGAACATACTCTCTATCTTTTTCTCTTCTCTAAATTAACAACATGGAAAGAGAGAGACATGTAATATTGTTGAGGAGAATGTCGTCTGGTTCGAGATCTTTCATAAGAAAGGTAAATGAATGACAAGTTTTCATATATGTATCGTGAATGATTTCGGACCAGGCTTCATTCCCCTCAACTCTGATCCAACAAGTATGTGTTCTTAAGTTTTTTTTTCTTTTTATAATTTCTTTTAGGGTGTGTTTAATCACAAAGGAAATTATATTTTCCACAAAAATATGTTTCTTGGAAAAAGTTTGTTTGTTTCATCGACTAGACCAAAAACGTGATTCAGTTGATAAAGAGGTGCACTTGACTTTAGGTTAAAATGAATTAAGTCAATAAACATATATGTTGAATCACAATCCTATGTTTGTTTGTGATTAGATGAGCTATATAGTTTATTTGAACTAAAATATGAGTCATAAATCTTTTTACTTTTCCTTAAATTTCTTTTTATTCTAATAACAGATTTTTTAAAAATTTAATCCCATCTAGCAAAAGGGCTTAAAAGGTATAATAACAAGGTAAATATCAAAGTCTAGAAATCCAACTAATACAAAGATCGTTCTATTCTATCTTTACTTCAAACAAGTAAAAGTTGTTGGCACCTACTAAAACTTGTTTCGAGCCAATCTCATATATCAAAGCAAACAACTTCAATAATAGAAACGCCACATTGCATGGAGTTCCTTGATCTCGATTCAAGCTCGAATCTTCTCTTTTTAACTTTGGCCTCACAAGCTAACCTAGCCTGTCCATGAATGGGCTTGGGCTTTAAGGCCTTGTCCCTTTGAGTTAATAGTAACATTTTTTATAGTTGGAGTTTAAGGTTGGCAACCTTCCAAAAAATGAATATATATGACACTCTTAAGAAAAATGAAGGAATATTATATAAGACAGACAAAAGTTCACATGAATGTCTTTCATAGGTATTTTGAAGATTGAATTAGGTAATAATCTGAAGTTGCTTTCATAGGTATTCCAATAGAAAACCAACCAATGATTCCACAACACAATATAATGAATGTCTTAGTCATATAGATTGTGTGGCTTTCATAGTAGTTCTTTTATTCCCAAAAACAAGTGACAAAAAGTGAACACAGAGAAGCAAATTCTTTGGGTCACTAAATTAATATATTCTTTTGTTTTCTAGATGCTATGCTTAACCGTATTCCACTAGAAGATGCTCTACCTTACTATCAACTATTAGCAAGAATAAAATCAAATGTTATCGAGTACACTCTTTTATTCCTTTCAACTACTTTTCTAAGTACATTCGATGCAGCAAGAGGAAGAACTCCTTACGCAAACATAAAGGATTAGTATCGTAGTTCATTTTCACTACACTTCTAGTAAGATTAAACATTTTGTAGATTTATTCATATATACAACGATTGAAAAAAGTTATCAAATTCAGGTGAAACTTGTAATTTAAGTATCTAAATGATTGTCATCAGCTCGTGTAGTAAGGTGTTGGGTTAAGTCTCAATCCGCCTCGTAAGAGGGGTGAGGGACACAGATAAATAAAAGGAATATAAATTTACTTTGCATTGTAACAAATCAAAATCTACTACCTGAAAAAGCATGCATATCACAAAACTAAGTTACCACAATGGCTAAATTACAAAAAAAGGATTCGTACTTGATAAGGAAATATTCTTACAAGAAGGAAAATCTCGAATCCTATCGCATAGTTCTTCAACCCGGAATTGATGTTTTCTCCATCAAAATACCATATGTACAGAAACAACGGAAGCCAATCGATAAGAGAGTACACAAAAAGCTGTCTGAGGACTGTGATCTGCTTTGTTAAAGTTTCCGATAGTTTAGGTATTAGCCAATTGTGATGGCAACCTGGGATGATTATGTTCGCCTTCATATGTCACGATAAGCATTGAAGCGTCTTCCAAGCATCTTTCAACATGTTTCCGGGCAGGGCAACCTCTCATGCTGCTACATTTATAGTATCCCCTGTATATATCAAGGAAGGCGTTAAGTCTACGCATAAATGCATTAAACTTGTACAGAATCAAAGCAAGGATTGGCTGTTGTGATCAATAAACGCAACTTGATAGAGCAACTATCAAACCACAGATCCCGGTAGTAAAAGCAACTATTGAGTATCAGTTGATTGAATGAAAGAACCAACAAGTCAAGCATAACAATTGTTCTTTTTCGATTGACAAAAATAAAAAAACGAAGAACGTTAAGTCAATCACTATAATAATCAAGCTCCTCACTTCACCACTCAAATATATGTGTAAATGCCAAACGAGAAGGACGGGAGTCATGCGAAAGTGATAAGCTTTCATGTTAGACTGGAGCTGGAGCTCCTTATAACGTATCTTCAGGATTGAGGTAGCTTTTGCAAACACCAGCAATACAGATGGATGCGGAACAAGGTTCTAGACAAAAGTTAATTGGTTCAAAAGAACATGAACTCATACTCAGCATCCGCCACCAACCACATACATTAAACATGACAATTAATCCAGGGAATATACTTTTTCACTCTCCAACTCTATGATCAAGATGCACATGGAAAGAATGTGATTATAATTGATAATCATAAAGTTCCGATTTACAAAACGTGGTAATTGAGATGCAGCTTAAGGAAGAAGGTGAGAATATTACCTAGGGTGCGGAGAACCTTTGATCGGCTTTTGTCCATACTTTCTCCAAGAATACTCATCGGAAGGAATATCAGCTAGCTTGTTACTTACCGCAGGTATTTTGATTGATCTCTTTACTCTGTGTTTCCTATATGAAGACAATTCCAAAGTTCTTAATCACCTACAAGACATTATATGATTAAAAAGGAAACAAATCTAAAAGCAAGATAAAATACAAACCTCTTCTTTGAACAGTGACATCTTCCACTGCTTCCACATTTTCCGCTTCCCTCGTCTCCCCTTCCTGAGCACTTCCTCTTGTGTTGGAATGAGCTCTGATCCGCTGAGTGTGAAGCCCCAATTAAATGAAAGCTATTACCATTAGCAACGCTACCGTCCACACTCAATGAGGATATAAATGACCTAGTCGAAGACATCGTCGGAGTACATGTCGAGCTATCAAAATTTAGACTAACACCACTATTGCTTCGCCTGTACATCATCTCCGCGGGCTGTTTCAATTGCTGCTGCTGCTGAAGTAGAAACCTCCGTTGTTGTTGTTGCTGTTGTTGCTGTTGAAGATAGTTATAGCTCGGGAAAGGCGTTTGTTGGCCAAAATTAAGGGGGTTTCTACTATTTGAACTTAATTCCAGAGAAGGGCTACCTAAAGTTAGATTACATTTCACATTAGCACCCATCTCTAGGACTCGGTTTTCAGGAGTGTCGATAGGAAGTAACCTAAGAGCTTTCGCCTGATCATCGATTTTGCAATTCGGATTTTCAACAAGGATGTTATGAGGTAAAGGGGTCATGAATTTGTTGGATTTCCTCACTCTTGCATGACCTAAAGTTGAATTCAAAAGAGTGACAACTTTCTTGAACTTGTGTACAGCTTCTCCAGTTTCTCTAACTAAATTTGTGTACGAATTCTGATCATGTGTCCTAGATGATAAAAGACTAATCACTCTATGACAATTTTCAACTGCAGCCTTGTTAACTTCTTCTATTTCCTCCATTTCACCTCTCTCAACCCCTAAAAAACGCAAAAAATCCGCAAACTCAAACAAGTACTACTATTGCTAAACCTCAGGCTCAAACAAGTTAGGATCAGCTATACGAACACTCATTACTTCATTTAAGCTCAACCCAAACCACACAAAAGGAACAAAGACAAAACACTATCCCCCCTCAAAAAACCGCCAATAAGAATTTGGTTCTTTTGCGAATCTATAAATTCATTTCAGCCAATTGAACATTCTTGAACTGTTTCTTTTCAAGGACCAAAAAGATTCTTACATAGATAGAGATAACCAAAAAAAGGGCAGAAAGAGTTGCCCCCAAAACACAAGAACAACTACACATCCCCTCAAAAACAAAAATAAAACTCAAGATACACAACTTAAATCAACCTGAAAATTATGGAAAAGGGAAAAAAGAAGAAAAACAGAAGCAATATACACCCATTTATAGTTTTAAAAAAATAACACAAAAAAAGGGGGTTCTTGTAATGAAATTTCAAGAAACCAAACTCAACAAAGAAACCATACTCAAACAACAAGCTTTTACATCAAGAATGAAAATTAACAGAAAATAAAACACACCCAAATGGAAAAATCAACATAAAAACAGCAGCAAATGCATTGAACAGAACAAAAAAGCAATAAAGATTGGATCTTTACACTTCTAAGAATGAAACTAACAGAAAATAAAACATACCCAAGATGGGAAAATCAGCTGTAATAACACCAGCAAGATAAAAAAAAAAAAAGCAATAAAGGTTGGATCTTTACACTTATATGATGTGTTGTCAAACCCTAGATTCTTTCAATCTTCATAAGGGGTTGGGGGTTGAGGTGAGGGTGGGTAGTTGATGAGGGAAAAAAAAGGTTTTGGGGTGTGTGAAAGAGAAGACTTTTTAGCTCAGCTAATGAAAAATAAAAAATTTACAAAGTCCAAAAGTATACAAAGCTACAATCTTTAATATTTATTCCAGTATTATGATTGTTTATTTTTAGAAAACAAATGGAATTAGATTAGAGAGAGAGAATCACACAACAGTAGACTCGTTAGTCAAGTATAGTACTAGCAATTGAGTGCTTCAAGATTGAGGGAGAGGGAATCTCTCATTATTTTTTTTCTTTTTTTTACCATTTTAATAACGGATTCACAATTTTCATTCACTAATTTAAAAAATATAAACATAAATAAGACAATATAATACAATTTGAAAGAAATAATAATACATAATTTATCGATACAAAAAGTTAGTTGAATGCGAGGGATAATTTAAAAGGTGATCTATCACGATACTATAACTTGTTTCTTGTTTTCGTGAGGGGATTTACAATTAATATATTTATATATATACATAAATTTATATATATATACCATGTATTTTTTTATCGATGAAGTTAAACCTCTGTAATCAATATGGGTCCGTCACTGACTGAGAAAATGACCAAAAAATAATTATTTATATTTGTGAATAAGTTCAAAATAGATTATGTTAAATATTTTTTCGATTT